CTGTAAGACATCAGAAAACCGTCATAGAAAAATCTTTTTGAATTCTACGAGGTAAAAAAAAATCGTTCCCCAAATTTGCCGCCCCCAAAATCTGCCGCCCTAGGCTCGAGCCTACTCAGCCTGCTGGTAAATCCGCCACTGATAACACATTGTTATACAATTAAAATTTTGATAATAATGAATTTTGATTAGATGTCCTAGAGATTGGCCAAACTTGTTAAGCGGCATTAACTTAAAAAGTAAGTAACAGTGTTGTATCCCTATATTTTACCGGCAATGTAAAAAATTCGGCAATGTGCGAAATATCTAGATACTCTGCAAACTGAAAAAATTACCGGACATTGTGCAAAATTACTTCCATTTTGGGCAATCTTCAAATTTGCTGCGCTATTTTAGGCAATCTGCAAAATGTCTGATGCGATAGTCAGTCAATCTGGAGATTAAAGGTTTTTACTTCGTTATTCAGTCAGAGATTGATAATGGCGAGCGGGAAGAAAGGAATATTTTTAGAGAAATTGAATACATTATGCAGTAAAAACCCAACTTAACCAAACCATTATATAAATAACAAGTGTTTATTAATTTAATTTGGGTTTGTAGTCGAAAAAAAATCTGTATCTTCAGTCTTACATTTGTGTCGTAAATTAGTGTTGCGCACACTGCCTAGTCAATGTGAAATCCGGGGATTGACTATCGCATCAGAAATGTTGCAGATTGCCTTTAACAGCCTAGTACATTTGCAGATTGCCCAAAATAGTAGTTATTTTGCACAATGTCTGTTAAATTGGTCTGGTTGCAGAGTATCTAGACATTTTGAGCATTTCCTGATTTTTTACTTTGCTAGTAACATAATATGTACGAGTTTATGTATATATTATATGGTTGATTCTACAAAAGTTGGAGAACTTGATGTCATCAGTTAATAGAGTAGGTATTTTAATATTTTCTGTAAATATTTTAGTATATTACAAAAGATCCAGGTATTTTTAACTTGTCCACCCAATTTTAATGTATTTTTTTAAAAGCACGTTTGTAGAAAAACATAATAAATATTCAAAGTACCTTGGCGTGTCACAACTCCTGAATCAAATATTTGAGTGATTTTATTTTAAAATATATTCAATTTATCTTAAATTTTTCAATTTCACTACAAACTATAAAACAATAAATAATGTATTTTTCATATTTTATCATAGATTCGAATAATAGAATTTTTTAAAAATTGATAATCTTTGTACTCACTTTTACCCGTCAGTTCTGTGCCCAATGTTAAAATTCAAAATTCCTACGAAATATTGAAGTTTAAACGTCAAGTCCTCGTTTTAACTCTAATGATGGTAAAAAATTACCTACAGAGCCCGCCCTTTGCAAGACAGTAATCTTGAAAACAATGCAAGCGGCGAAGTTGTGGTGAATGCACGTATAGTTCCAGTCAAAATTTCAGTACTGTGGTGAGTAGTTATTTTCTTACGTATATATATTTCATTGTAATTTATATAAGGCTTATATGTGATTTGTTAATAAGTAGCATCCACTAATAAAAAATATCAGTAATAAATTCCGAATTATAATCTCAAATTTGTATCCCATTCATGATTACCGTGTCGTCAGTTCCATGTTCGATGTTTCGGTTATCTTTTTTTCGCAAACTTTAATTGAAATTGTGCTTGCGCAGTACTTCTTTATTTAATGTCATTATAAACTCATATAAATTTGGTGTGGGACCCATATCTAATAACTGAGATATCGGTATACCCAAAATCCACCAGCCGCCACTGATATGTGGTATTATTTGATTTTAAGATATTTAATGTACCCTATAATATGCTCAAAGTTGCAATAAATTTTATATTTTCCAATAAATTATGTATTTAATTAGTACCCTGGTATACTCGTCACTTCCCTTGCATTCAAATTTAGAAAACACAGATATTTCAGAAACTGTTTGAAAAAGTGACTGCATGGCCCGGTCTGGAACAGTATATTTATAATATTATATATGTCCTTATAACAAAATACTGTTTAATTTTATCCGAAAACTTTATAAACAAAATGAGGTCAAAAGTTGCCCCACTTTTGTAGAATCACCCATATAACATATTTTACAAAGTAAACTTTAGTAATAGAACATTTTCAAAGGTTATCGGGTTTTGAAGTGTCAATAAAAAACCAAATATATTTGAATATTTATTTACCCATTACATATTTACATAGCCTCGTTTATATTATAACAATACCAAAAGAGAAAAAAAATGATAATTATTTAATGAGCAATAATCAGATGTATACATTTTACAAAAGTATTTATTTTCGTAAAATTTAATTAAACAAACTATGAAGGAATAACATTATGAAATTTTCATGGTTACTAATAATTATTATTATAAATAATAAAATAAATATCTGCTATAAGTTATAACTTATAGTCTATAGTCTATAACAATTAATTTCCTGTCCAGAAATCAGAATTACCAATAACTAAATATTAATCTTAAAAAATATTTTAATTTCTGCAATCCAGGGGGTAGTAATTCTGGTTAAATAAGAAATGTATATGTACATAAGTAATAGATAAATGTAATGTAATGTCTAATATAGTTGAGAATAAATCCTTTTATTTTTGCCATATTAAACATGTTTTACCTGAAATTATGATATCTAAAAACTACAAAACAATTCTAAAACTGTATTAAACTCAGTAATACTGTACAACATTGTTAATTAAACATGGTTAAAATATTATGAGATGACTTAACTTTTGCAGATTAAATGCCTATACAATTTTTACAAAACTTTAAAAATACATGATATACCTAAATTTCAAGTAACTTTAAAGTTTGTAAAATTTGATTCATATACAAATAGGTATTAAACATCGCTGTTTACAATCATCTGAAGAAGTTTCAAACACTCATCGCTATTTTGATTAAATTTTTGACCTCTAAAAATAAATAACATACACCATCTTTATAAAAAGTTGCTTTTTATTTACTACTCTTAAATTATCTATCTTATTGAATTAAAGTTAATGCCACAAGTACGTACTTACACAACAAAAAAGTTTTATAGAGTTATGCGTTTTTAAAGTACGTTCTTGAATATCCATGTAAATATGCTAAAATATTTGGTTGGATTTTATTTTTTTATAAATGTAGCGCGCCTAATGGTAAAACAATATATTATATATACAGTTCATTTTTTATATTTGGACTCGTGTTTTTTTTTATATAAGTTAACTATGCCAAAAATAATATCAGATTCTAAAGTAAAAGAACTTTTTAGGGCAAAACTTTATTTTGATGAAGTTATGCCAAATGCTTCAACGGCAGAAAAAGTACATCGCCTTATGGACATTTTTAGAGTAAAAAAGAAACGTTTTTGGTTTTACAAATATTAAATCACACATTATTTTTAGCTAAGCAGATCAAACATTTTTGAAATTTTAAAAAATAAGGGGGAAATAAAAAAACAAAAAATAGGCAGAAAGAATAAAGGTTCGACAATTTAAAATACCCAAAATTCCTGCAGAACAAAAATGATAATGATAATGAAAACAAACTATTGTGGTATAAATTACTAAGAGGGCATTAAATCCACAGAAATCATAGAATTTTTTGATGAAGAAAACAAACAGTTTTATTAAGAAAATAATTAAAATCTTAATGTGAAGATTGACTTCTGTTTAAGTGGATTTCATGAAAATTTATGGATTGTATGAAGATTTTTTTAAAGAAACCGCGATGATATATATTTTCTTAACGATGTAAACATAAAAATAAAAGAATTTTCGCCGAACGATTTTTATTTTTTTTTAAGTAAAGAAAACTACCCCAGTAAGTATTAAAAAAGAAAATGCATAAATATTTACAAATTGATTAATTAATGAAATCAATGAAAAAATAACGATTTGTAAATAAAAATTTTTTGCTGTTAGTTTCAACCTTTTTGTGAAAAATCTAGTAGGTAGTTAATTTTCCTGTCTTTGAAAATTGCACCCATTTGGTTTAAAAAAGTTAAGCAATTATCAAGAAACTTTTTATTCTTTCAATTTGCAAGTTAGGGGAAGGTGGGGGAATTTTGCGCGGTGGGTAATTTTACGCATAAACAATTCTTCCAGATATGAAGTAAATAATACATTTTTTGAATGTTGCAAACTTGGAAACGTTGCTTTGGGTATACGGGGACTAAAGTGTACCGCAATTAAGCTTGTAGCTTTTAGCTAGTGACCATGGTCACTAGCTAACTGTGATACATGTACTTTGATCTAAGAAATCCATGTCGTTTCCGCTACGAGTTAAGTTTAAATTTCTGTCCAATCGCTTAAATGTTTATAACACAACTTTATATGATCTTTCCTCGTAATCTGGTGTATGTTTAAATTGTTCAGGTTAACTTTTGGAAAGTTTTTTAGTATCACAATATTTTTCTTGCAATGGGGGTAATTTTACGCTGAAAAATTGGGGTAATTTTGCGCTGCAAAATTTGGCCAATATGGGAGCTTTGGTATACAGGAGCCTAGATTGTTCAGCATAAACCGTTCCATTTGGGCACACGCGGAGTGTAGCGATAAAAAAAAACCCTAAAACTACATATGTGACAAATGCTGCATGTAGACCCTCTTATTTCTAAGAAGAAAAATTTTATTTTTAGTTATTTATTTTTTATTTTGTTTGTTTTGTTTGTTTCATAGAGAAAATAGTTTTGTTTTATTTTTATGTTTTATTATAATAATATTATAGAAATAAACGGTTTATTTAGATACCTACAAATCTTTCTCTATACAGCGCAAATTTTCCCAATATGATGCGCAAAATTACCCTGATAGGTGGGTAATTTTGCGCAAATGCATTATTTAAAAAAATGTAGTTTTTGCATACCAAACATTTTTTTTATAAATTGCGCATTATATACACATAGTAAACATAGTAGACTATCGCTGGTATTAATTGCAAAATTTCACATTTAAACTTAACAAAGATACTAGAGATTTTGCTTAGATGCGCAGAATTCCCCCACCTTCCCCTACTGATCATTAATATATTAATAGTCCTGGACAATGTATACATTATAATTATTATTAAGCCACTACGAGTATTAACGTGCAATGCCTAACAAAATACCCATTCACCATTGAATTCCAATGATTGGACAACATTCACGTGTGTTACCTACATAAAATTTTAATGTCTTTTATATAAATTTTTTTCAAAGCAAAGATTATTATCCGGTATGATCTCCTGGGCCGTGGTCACCTATATTTAACTACGTTTTTATATGATTTTACTCAACTACGCACCACCAAAGTCAAATTAATTGCATTTTTAACTACGAATTTTGACAACTCAACTTGACTCAACTTGACAACCGTTCAATGTATCCTACAATAATTTACACATAACCACAATTACATTATAATTATAATGTATACATTTATAACTAGTTTAGTTTGTTTTAATCAATGCAACCAATTTTGGTTCCGTATTTACCAACCAAAACCCTAAATTTGCAACGTTGCCTCAGTCCAGATAAAAAAATGAACTTTACCTTTACAAATTAATAAATATTCATACTTAAATAAATATGTATGTATTTTTAGTTAGTATGTTACAATGCAATAAATATATAAAATATTTTATTATAACAACAATAATCTAGGTTAGTAACTAAAAATTAAATATAAACATTTCATAAAAAGCAACAATTTATATACAGCTAAATAAATATAAATTAACTAAAAATCCCGGATCTAAAATACCGAGGTCAAAAATTTTAATTTTATTTACAGGATAACTTAAGTAATAATTTAACTACAAGTAATATGTTTTCAAATTAAAAGCTATACATTTTATTGCAAATGAGCCCTTTGTATTATTTATACTAGTAAGAACAACTCGCACCTACTTACTGTACCACTAAGGTAAGGTTTATAAAAATGTTTACATTTTTTATTAATCGTTATTAACATTTTTTAAAACTTTTTTATTGTAAACTATATGGTAACAGCGTTTAAAATAAAAGGAAACATAATTTAATTTAAACAAATTATGAACTACAATATTTAGTAGCGGATCCAAGATTTTTTTTTGGGGGGTTATGCTGATTTTGCATACATTACTCGCTGAAGCCCCCCGTGGATCCACCATAGTCCATAATTAACTATAGTTACTATAGTTAGTAAGAGTAATATATATAGTATAGTATATATACATATATATGTATATATATGTAGATAAGTGAAGTTTTGTAAATTTGTAATAATTTAATAAGTACCTTGGAGTATGCAGACATAATTAAAAGGTAAATAATACGTCCCCTACAGCACTCAATATTTCTGCAACATTGCAGACAACGTTGATGAAATGTCTCCGCGCCGTCAAGTTACATGTAATGTTGCAGCAAGATTACAAGTAACATTGCTGAAATTTCTACTTTAATGGCGTGCAACATTGCATGCAATTTACTCTGCAATATTATAATTTCTTATATATTATCAAATTGATAATATCAATTATAACGATCTACGAAAATTTTACAAACACTGTGATAAGTTTACGTAAAAAACCGGGTGTGTCGCTTTAAGTAGACCCACGACAGAAGATGCTTTTTAAGAATATTTCCCCCTATTTTTTTTAATTTTGTACTGTGCAAATTGATCCTACCATTTTTTTTTAATTGTAAATTTTAAGATTTTAAGAATTTTGGACATTTTGGATATATTGACCATTATAATTTTTGTATGATTGTTTAAAAAAATTTAAAATTTTGGAAATTTTTAACAAATTTAAAATTTTGAAAAGTCTGGAGTCGTTTCTAAAAAGTTATTTAAAAAAATTGGCAAATATTGGATCCGACATTTTTTTTTTAAATTGAAAAAATGAATATACTATTTGTAATCAGCGACCTCAAAAACCACATGTTGCCAAATTTGAGCAATATCGGTTTGAAAAATGAATCCGCCATTTTGTTTTTGAAAAAATGGATATCAAATTCGTAATTACGATTAATAAGCAAAATTCTAACCAAATTATTAAAGCCGTTTCCCAATTTTTTTTGTTGCAAATATGCAGCAATATGAAGTGCTGTAGGTGGGTATACAATTCAATTTTGAAAAATTTTGATAAATAATAAAATAAAGCAATTTATTTCTAATAAAATAAATATTCGCCACTAAAACAAATATTAACCCTAATCGTATTTCTTTAAAAAAGATTTTTAAATAATCGAAGCCACACAAAATAAAAAAATTGCGGCCAAAAAAGCGACCTACAATGTAGGTCCTACATTGTGGAACTATACTTGAGAAGTGTAAAAAAATACGGCATAGTAATGGCTTTGTTTTGCAAGCCTATCTGTAAAAACATTTACTTAATCGTCCCTATCAGGCGATAAAATTCAACTTTACCATTGTGTACTCAAAACTCAACCTTTACTGAAAACTCAAGGTAGAATGACAGAAAGTTCCAAAAACTTGGATTTTGACAACTTTTGACATTGCTATGTAGAACAAATATTAGAAATGTTCCCCAACACCAAAACAAAATATAAAGTGATTAAAGTGCTTTTCGCCGAAGTGTTACACTTCGCTTCTGAAGATGCCACCATTGTTGGCGAAAAGTACTTTAAGCATTTGTGTTTTGTTTGGTGTTAAGGAATATTTCTAATATTTGTTAAACATATTACCAAAGTTGTCCTTTTTCAAGTAGGTTGTTTATGGAATATTGCTTTATTCTTTTATCAATCAAATTTTCCCAATAGTGAACGGATTAAATTATAGCTATAATTCTAATTAATTATTTCTTGAAAATGGAGAATTAAGTAGAAGATTAAACCCAACTAGTGTTCGAGTGGAATTAATCGCAAATACGTGATTCATCGGTTTTTCCGTTCAACACCAGGGAGTTAACGGTGGTGCCGTTAGATTCCGAAACGGGAACTGCTGGCGCGCCGCCTCTCATTCTGAGTAACCTGAGACCGATCCAAGTGGAAAAAATGCCGTTTTGGTGTTGCGCCTGTTCGGCCAAATGTTCCTTTTGAAGCTGATAGCGATATAACAGTGAACCGGCCACGAGAGCGGACACGACGGCCGACACGGCTACTAGCACGAATAGCAGGCTGAAACCCGGAACCGGCATGCAAATGCCGTAGACGACTTCCTCCCTTATGCGGCCTTGGAAGACGGTCACCGCCTCGGCACGGCTGTCGGGACTGAAAGCGAGATCGGCCTCGGAAATCACCTCGTAGATCCCGCTGACTCCCACGTCCGCGTTACGGCCCTGGCCATCCGATATCACCACCGATCTGCGTCTACGTTTCAAACGTTCCACTATCGGCACAATTGGGGCGCGTCGCTCTGATTCCGTCAGGTTTTCTTTATTGGCTACCGCCGGATCGGAGGCGTCGGAGAAACTTCTCGGCGCCGCTACCGGCGGTCCGTCTTCGAACGTGCGGGGCCCGTGAGGGAATTGTTCGTTGGGTACCAGAAACATATCCTAAAAATATACAAAAAGTAAAATTTTTAATAGAACTTGATAGTCATTAATAAGTTAATTATAACATATAAACTGCGCACCACTCAATGTGTCGCGACCAAAAGGTTCGTCCTTTTTCAAAACGACACAACATTTTTGTTTCTTGAACGATTTTATTTTGGTCTGTGATTTCTGCTAGCCCCATCCTCTGGCAATTCATGCTATAGATATGAAGCTCACGGTTCTTCAAGTAAATTTCGTACAGGGTGATATGTAAATCGGTCAAAAATTTCAATATCTTCATCCAAGCCCCGTTTGTAAAAAAATCGTTTTTACTTTGAAATAATGAAGTATTATGTCTTACCTTGAAAAGGTTTTCAATTTTTTCTTATTGGAATCTTTGCAAAGAAAATATGATTTTTTTTAAAAAGAGTACATTTAAGGCTTTTTGGTAAGCAATACACTCAGTCTTTTTAAGAACAAGGAGATAAGATGGTGAAAGTTTGTTCCTTGAATAATTCTGAATAAGCGACAAGCAACAAAATTCTATTATTTTCAGAGGGGCCTAAGCAAAGACCACTTTTTTAAAATGACATTTTGGTGAAAATTTGCGAAAACCAATCCTGAACCGATATTTACGTTCGTGACATGTTTTTGACCTCCTGATTGTGATTCAGTTGTCAAATTTAAGTCTTAGATAAAACAAAAATCAAAATTCGAAAACAATTCTCGGCTGTCAAATTGCCTACAAAAAAGCCTTAAATGTAATCTTTTGGAAAAAAATCATATTTTCGTTGCTAAGATTCCAATTCGAAAAATTTTAGAAAAGTTTCTAGGTAAGACATAATACTTCATTATTTCAAAGTAAAAACGAGAAAAAAATTATTTTTTACAAACGGGGCTTAGATGAAGTTATTGAAATTTTTCACCGTTTAACATATCACCCTGTAGGAAATTTACTTGAAGAACCTTGAGCTTCATATCTATATCATGAATTGCCAGAGGATGGGGCTAGGAGACATCACAGACCAAAATAAAACCGTTCAAGAAACAAAATAGTTATGTCGTTTTGAAAAAGAACGAACCTTTTGGTCGCGACACATTGAGTGGTGCGCAGTTTAGTTAAAAATCAAATGATCTTCTTTAACTGTAGACAAAGCGTAAATAATTTTTCTTGATATTAACTGTATTAAGGTGATTAAAAAAATCTACTTTTCTTTCTCTATCTCTATTTACGTATGAGCTCTAATTATTAAGAGTAAGATCTTTGTCATTTTCACATTAGTCTGATGATGATTTATTTCTTACTAACAAATGAATATAAAGCTAACCCAATACATATTTTAATTAAATTAAAGGAAATTAAATGCTCTACAAAAAGGTATTGTTGTGATTTAAATCTCCCGCGCTACATTTTACATTATATGGGCCCAGAAAAGTTTGATTTACTGTTTGATAAATTGGCCCCGGAGGAGCCTAAAAATAAATCATACGATGAAATAGTAAAATTGTTAAAGGATAATTACTGTCCGGCACCATTAGAGATCGCAGAAAATGTCCGGTTTCACCAAAGAAAACAGCAAGAAGAAGAAACTATTCAGGAATTTTTGGCAGCTTTGCAGAAGTTGGCCATAAATTGCAAGTTTGGTGATTACCAAAAAACAGCATTAGGAAATCAACTGGTTTTTGGGATGAGGTCAGAAAAAATACAAAACCGGCTACTTGAAACACAGGACTTAACCCTTGATAAGGCTAATGAAATTGGTGTTGCATGTAATTATCGTCAAAGGACACGGCACATTTACATAAAAATTTTATGACTACAAATACAATTGGTGCAGGGGATAAATCGTCCAAAGTACAAAAAGAATTTGAACCCTGGTAAACAAAAAAATGCAGTGCAAAAGCCACACTCAAATATAAAAAACGTTTAATGTTACCGGTGTGGAGGTCCACACCAAGTGTGACAAAATAAATGTGATTAGCAACGTTTGTAAAATAAAAGGACATTTACAGCCAGTATGTACAAAAAAATCAAAACACAAACCAAATAAAAGAAATGGTGAAGCTAGCTACAAGTAAAGATACAGAGTACAGAAAAAAGTTCAATACATCTTTAAGAGTTGGCGTTAGGGGTGTCAATTTCGAGGTGGATAGTGTTCCCAGAGTTGACAATCCAACTTATAGGTATACCAAATTAAAACTTGTCTCATACTGTGGTACAGAATTAAATTGTTTAGGGTTATTAACGTAAAGGTAGGTTAAAAACAAACTACTGTCTGTCCACTCTAAGTTGGCGGAACTAAGGAATTTTGTAGTTTAGATATTAAAGAATTGTCGTAATGTGTGCTTTTAAAACAGATTTTATATTATAAATAGTACTAGTACATATTATATACTAGTATTATTTATAATATAAAATCTGTTTTAAAAGCACACAGTACGACAATTCTTTAATATCTAAACAACAAAATTCCTTAGTTCAGTCAACTTAGAGTGGACAAACAGTACATATAATTTGAATATGTATATTGTTACAATATTATTGTATCAGGTGACATATTTCTATTGCCTGGTAGAGAGTGGATTCGCCAAATAAAATTTAGTTTTGAGGGATAAACCATATTCAAAATACCGATTCAACTAGTAGGGGAGCGAGGGGCTTGTTGTAACAGGAGTAAGTAGTAACACGGCTTTTTCATAAAGAATTTTAACGTTATACATTTACTTATTTGACTTAATATGATCTTTATATCGCACCACGTTATGTCGTGATAACCAGTGTTCCGCCAGGTGGCGTAGGTAGTGGACTTGTGCTCACGCTTTATTTTGGCTAGGTAACGTAAAAATTTACTTTTGTAAAATGTTGGTTATCGTTATTGTTTTTTAACTTATCTGAAACTTTTTGTGTTCTATTTTTTATTAATTAACGTATATTTGATGTGCTATAATTTTTTTTACTATTTATAAATTAATATTATAGTTATCTTAATAAATGTAAAAAATGTAATAAGGGGTTAGTTGTAACAAAATCTTGGAGCTTGTTGTAACATGTTACAACCTGTCCCTGAACTTTAAAATACCTTACTCCTACTTGTATTTTACTAAAAAGAAAATACTAAGAGCAGACGTAAAAGAAAATCATGACAGATAAACCAGAAAATGAAGCTTTAAGAATGTAACATGAGGAAAAAATGAAAAAGGAACAGAAAAAAATATATAAAGATGGAAAAAAAGAAAGAAACAAAGGGAAAGGGAAAGGCAATGGTAAATCAACAAAAAACAAAGTTGAACTAAAAAAACGATTTTGAGTAATTCAGAATCTGAGCCTAAGGAGTGGTTTTGTCTATTTTGTAGTGAAGCTTATAGTGATTCAAACAAAGGCCCATTCGCCTTAATTAATTATTAAGGAACATACTTGCTTAAAGGCTGATAATTGTACTAATTTTATAGAAGTATTTTTTAGTTTTTTATTTAAAATAAAATAAAATTAATGTCTTATTTGCTGTGATTTGAAGTGTCACGTTAATTATTAACTAAGAAAAATATTTTAAAAGTTACATTTTGTAGGTTCGTTATTTTTAAGAAGAATATTTTAGTTAAAAAACTAAAAAAATAAAGTTTAAATATGTTGCAATTTCTATTTTTTTATTGTTACTACCTGCCCCAAGAGATGTTACAACTAACCCCAAACACGGGGTTAGTTGTACCATTGTACTTTTTTTGGTAAAATGTTAGCTGTACGATTAATATCAATATTTTTAGTATTTTTTCTATTGGGTTTCATACAGGACAAGTTAAAGTATCGTTAAAATTTAATTAGTGATAATCCAGCAGAACCATGTTAAGATATCTTCGTTTGTCTGAAAATTGTTACAACAAGGCCCTTGCTCCCCTACAATTAATAAATTAATTTCGAAATATAATTCAGTTTTTTTTGAGGGGGTAGGAAAGATTGCCGTGTTTATTTAAAAAATTTTGCAAAGATCCGTTAAGTGCCTTTTGCTTTGTTACAAAGGGTGCAGAAATAGAAAATTTAGACATTGTCTATCCTCTGGGTGAACCTCCAAATGAAGATATGCCTTACTGTATACAGTGGATGAACTGTCTTCGGCAATGGCTGGGGGCGAAAAATTCACTAATTTCGACCTAAGTAAGGCATATCTTTATTTGGAGGTTCACCCAGAGGATAGACATCTATTAACTTTAAATACTCATAGAGGTCTTTAATAAAGACTCTTTATACCTACGTGTAATAGATACATGTATGTAGATATGTATGTTTGGTATTGCCTCTGCACCAGCGATATGGCAAAGACAAATGAAAAAAAAATATTACAGGGTATATACCGGGCACTACAGTCTTTACAGTCGATATAAAAATTACAGGTCCGGATTATGAAATTCACTTAGAGAGACTTGAGAAAGTGTAAAAACATAATTTACGTTTTAATTTACAAAAATCAAAATTTTTAAAAGATAAAATTAAGTATTGTGGTTATGTCATAAATAAAAAAGGCATTAAAAAATGCCGGCAAAAGTAGAAGCCATGAAAAATTTACGGCGGCCTACAAATAAAATCTTTTTTGGGAATGATTTACTATTACGGGCGTTTTTTTAAAAACTTAAGTTTCATTTTAGCACCCTAAATTTTAGATAGTTTTTTGTTGGACTGAGAAAGTCTACTTAAGATTTGGGGGCCCTTCTGGACCGGGGGCCCGCGGCGGACCGCACCATCCGCCCCCCCACCCTTAGTCCGCCACTGGGTCGTACGTAGATAGGCTTTTGAGGTGTCCAGCAACCAGTTTTTCGATATCAGAAAAAATAATAGTAGGTTTTTTGAATCTCCCTAATGTGTATAAAGTATGGGTATTTTTTTATTTAAAGAGCTACTATAGGTCGGTTAAATTAGAGAAAAGTTGCGTGATTACAATCCTATTTAAATAAAATTGTAAGGAATGTTATTATTTGGTAAGGCCACCCTGGTTAAAAAAATTTAAAATATTTTAAAAATTTTGGTGCCTTAACGAAATTGTTTGAACAATAATGGTATATAATTAAAAAAGAATTCAAGTCCGCGGTGTATTATTAAAGATTATTAAGAATTACGCGGGTAATTGCTGTACCTACAATTAAAATGACTAGAGCATCCTTTACGGAAGTTATTCAATTCAAACTTGTTACCAGTACAGAAACCAGAGAAAAATGGCCGATAAATATCATTAGTATGTACACAAACATCAAAATGCATTTAACTGCAAATCGCAAAGTAATTGTAAATACTGGGAAGTGAACTGTTTTATCCGCAGTCTAGAAACAATAAACGTTCTATTAAAACACTTACAATATAATAAATGAAGTTTGCAATAATTAAACACGATACCTTATTAGGCAATGCCGTTATTTCCAGTTTTGCGTTGTCGTCCTCGCTATCCGGCTCGGTATACCGCTGCGGCTCTCTGCTACCACTGCCGCCGCCGCCGCCGCCGCCGCCGTTACCACCACCACCCGCTGTTTCCGCTTCCAGCACCTTCTTCAAAGGACTTGCGTCTTCAGTTTCCTTGCTTAATTGGGCATTCAGTGACATCTTTACTGAAGGGATCTTGTTACCTTAACATTTTAAATGGTTATTATAACCTATTATATGGCTAAGAGGTTTTCTTTTACAAAATTATTGATGTAAAATAGCAAAAAGACTTAAAAAATTCAATAATACCTTATAAAAATATTTAACATTTTATGGTATAATTTTTAAAATTATAATTTTAACTGGATAAGAAAAAGTTAAGTATTTTTTTTCAACATTTTAAAAACGCCATTCCAAATCTTGATCCTGAACAACTTTAATACAAGTATTATACATTTTCTTACTTTTTAGTGTCATTTTATTACATATTAGTAATAAATTTTTACTTACTATTTAAAGAAAATAAATACAAACATAATAATAAAAAACAAAATGGCATTTTAACATTTGGTTATCGTTAAAAACACCCATAGGGATGTAATTTCAAAAATCCTTTTTTAGCGGTTATCTTTGTCATTACTTATAATGCACTAAGCCCTTTTTCAAAGTTTAAAGATTTGCTCTGAAAAAAATCCCTTATCGTTTTGTCATATTTAAAAATACTTGGTAAGCGAGCGTTAATGTAACAACGTCTCTTTCCTAGGAACAGCGCCCGCTAACAAATTGGCACTTCTAAGTTATAAACTGTGACGTATTTGGAAGCCTCTTCCCTGCTTAAAATACCCCATAGAGACCCTGTTCAAACCGATAGATATTTGTATCGGGATGTATGGTGTTTCTATAGGGTGTATAGGTTTGTATAGGACCCATAGTTGAGATTTATGGTTGTTCTATAGGGATATCCCTATATATCCTTCATTGAGTTATTTGTTATCGGTCTCAATAGGGAAAATGTAAAAGTTATGGTGTGCCTATAGGTAATTTCCTATACATTTTCTATCGGGCCGTATCCGGAAAAACCATGGACAAATGCACATATTGAATCCGGTAGCGCCCGATAGATTATTTTGTATAGGTCTCTATGGGGTATTTTAAGCAGGGTTCAGCCTTTTTGACACCTTATTTTTGAAAGGTCTATTCCTTTTCTTAGACCATAAAATACCCCATAGAGACCCTGTTCAAACCGATAGATATTTGTAGCGAAATGTATGGTGTTTCTATTGAGTGTATCGGTATGTATAGCACCCATGGTTGGGATTTATGGTTGTTCTATAGGGATTATCCACCCTTGATTTATTTGCTATTGGTTTCAATGGGGGAAAATACACATAAATGTAGAAATTAGTTTTTCTCCTATAGGTTTTAATAAAATTTTGACAAATGTTTTATGGTTTCTCTATAGGGATATCCCTATATATTCTTCTTTGAGTTATTTGCTATCGGTCTCAATAGGGAAAATGTAAAAGTTATGGTGTGCCTATAGGCAATGTCCTATAAATTTTCTATCGGGCGTTATCCGAAAAAAACCATGGACAAATGCACATACTGAATCCGGTAGCGCCCGATAGATTATTTTTGGATAGGTCTCTATGGGGTACTTTAAGCAGAGAGGGTTTTCGCAACGGCGCTCGATAGCATTGTGAGAATTCAATAACAATTATTTAAAGCATAATTATGTTCTTAAGAACTGCACATTATTTTTATATAAATAAATAGTTTTTTTACAAAAGATAGGAAGGAGAAGTCTTACTCGACAAATTTTGTTTGCAAAGTTTCAATTGCACAACTAAATCGCGCCCGTTGTTAGTGTTTTGCGTTGCAAGTAAAAGTATAGTTACGTTTGTGTGTGTATTTTATTTAAGTGATCATGGTAAATTATTGTGTTTTTAATAGTAAATGTAATTTAAGAACTAAATCGTTGATATTTTCATGTTTTGCCAAATAATTCAATTCGGTAGGTATGTATATTTGTTGGTGCAGAATTAACTAATGATAACTTTACCTAATATTATTTATATTTAGGTTTGGACATTTTTAAGGAATTTAACAAAAAACGAAGTGACTAGGTGCACGTTAGAGTGCCTGCAATTTATGTTTTACGGGCACGCTAGTGACGTAATAGATAAAAAACGTTATCACTGCCGTGCCGCTTAATTTAAAATTGTCGGCACGACAATAATATAATAATAAATTGTACCTGTATACATGTTTATAGGGTGTCTCTCAGATTTTATTCGTGAAAATTTTGTAATCGAACAACAAAAATAGGAATAAAAATGTAGGTATAAGAACTTGTAAGCTCTAAAGCTTTGTTTTCAAAATACAGGGTATTAAAGTTAATAAAAAAAATATAGTTCTGTCACTTTATTGTAAGTTTAATATTATATTTAGATTTTTTCAGGGCAAATAAACAAATTTTTAATGATTAAACAAGATAGAGAAAGTTGGAGTTGGAAAGTTTTAGTTTCCTGAGCCAAAAATCATATTGTCGTAGTAAGACAACTAGCGGAGATTTTTTATCACAAAAAAGTAGCATTTTTGATTGTAACTTCTATGTTTTTTATATAAACAAAAAAGTTACAACCAAAAACGCTACTGTTTTATCATAGAAATTCCGAGAATTTATGTTTTTGTGGCTTAACTCAAAGTTCTATGATTAAACTTTTAAAAAATCACCCACCAAAATTTTATTTTTAAATATCCAGTTGGGTTTCCTTAATTGAATTTAAATTCAATTCAATTGCTAAAAACCTGATAATTTTTATTAAATTCGGCCCAAAAGTTTTTGAAATTTTTGAAAAAATTGATATTTAAAAAAAAATTTACCACCCTGTATTTTGAAAACGAGGCCTTAAAACATAGAAATTCAATTAAATTGTCATCTTATTTTTGCGAGTTCTATTGACTAATGAATTTTCCCGATTAAAATTTTAGGCTTCATTTATATACAGGGTGGTCCAAAAGGAACCTTTAATAAATTGAGAATCAATAAAAACTTACATCGAAAATAAACAGTTTCAGAAATACAAGGTGTTGAAGTTGCATATTTTTTTTGAAAAAAAATAATTTTTACTAAACTTAAGAACCTATTTTATTAAAATTTGTTAAGTATTGTTTTTTATTAATAAGTAGGTACATTCGTTTTCATTCTACAAGCAGTGGCGTCAATACGGGGGTGATACTATCGCTTTTTAGAGAAAAAAAGGTACACAAATGATATATTATATACTTTTATTATATATGCATATTCATTTATTATACATGCATATTCTTTTTTATACTTCTGTATTGTATTTATTTTAAATATTTTACTTTTTTACTATTGTACCTGCTATGGAATCCTTTTTAGGTCTTTACATTGTGACAGTTAAATTGACCGGTTGACGTGCCTCCAATTTTAAATTAAGCGGCACGTCAGTGTATGACGAATTTCATCCATTACGTCACTAGCGTGCCCGTAAAAACTAAATTGCAGGCACTCTAACGTGCCCGTAGTCACTGCGAACAAAAAACAATAGTTGCACAAACATAACCTTAAAATCAAACATTTTTATATTCGAGTCCTCTAAATATATCTACGAATTCATGGCAACATAATATATAAGTATAATACATAATATAATACCCGTTTTTGGTTTTTGGGTGGAGAGTGGAGACTTTTTACTGAATTGAAATTATTACAATTTTTACGTAAATCGTAACTAAAATAGGTACAATTTTTATTTACAGGGGATGTATGCAATTTATTTCTTTATTCGGATTTCCACTGTTTATTGGGAAACCGGTAAAAGCTTAACCTAGGATGTTCTTTCGAAAAACACCCAACAGAATAACAAATCGTTCAAGGATGATAACTTCCACGTGGTAATCGTAACGATTGTGATGATACAAATAACTGAATATCAGTTATCGACTTTTTTATTTGAAAGGCAGAAATCTTTATAAGGGTTTAAATTTGACAAAACAGTGTGTGTAAATTTAAGTTGTACCAATATATTTATAGTGGGGGCGGCGCGAAAGTAGTTTTTTTAAATGAGTTCACGATTAATTTTTGAAAAACAAATTACATGACATGAGATAAAAGAATTTTATGTTCTAAAAAGAGTTAAATCCAACTTTCCTCTATGGCTTTAAACATCCATATAGTGTGATGTATGAATAGAAAATATATAAATAAAAAACAATACTACCCAACTATGGAGAAAGGCAGTTACTGCTAAACAAGAAATCTGTGGAAAATTGGCATAAACTAAATTTTTATAAAAACCAGTGGATATTTAATTGATTTATTTAACTTATAAGATAGTTTAAAGTTTAAAACGCATTAAGAATTTTTTTGTAGTTACTGCCTTTCTCCATAGTAGGGCAGAATAACTAAATAAATTTTTTTGGGAATTCGCTGGTGCTGTGCCAATTCGTTAGTGTCGTTAAATGCTTTTTTTCATCAAAATATTTTGTAAATAATATTTTAAATACTAAAATTTAATAGTATAAAGCAAGCCTAGCAATATAAACACATTTTATACTTTATAAATTAATTGTTGGGAAATATTCCGTTTTTGGGAAAATCAATTTTAAATCAAATTACACGTTACAAACTCCAAATTTTAGTAAACTTACCATTTTTATTTTGTATTTCCTCAGACTCTTCATGTATAATATCATCATAAAAGTCCTCATGTAACTCTTGATCCACAGGATCAGGTCTTCCGTTTCTATCAATCTTATCATCTTCCTCCTCCTCTTCGGACTCCACCTTGTCGTCCTTCCTCTCCAAAGGTCCTCCAATGTACTGCGACAGGTCCTGGTTGGCATTTTCATGCGCCGGCTGCAGCTGGCAGTGGTCAAGACACCCGTGCCGACAAATTTCGACTTTGCATTTTATGTGGACGCTGAGCGCGTCTGGGAACTTGAAGGCATGGAAAAAGGCGTACGTTATGACGGAGGCTCTTTCGTCTGCGCCCTTGGCTTTTAAGAAACGACTGATCATTTTCGGCCTCAGCACACAGCCAAATTCATCTGAAAGCTGGATCAGGTGACCGCCACCGTCGGATGCCACGCAGGATTTTACACGCATATCGAATTCTCCTGGAAATAAAACAAATATTTAGCCATTTTTAATTTGATCTACATTTTAATGATTTTAAATTATTTATTTTATTTTGCTTAGTTCTGTCCCATTGAGGCAGAGGCGCAGGCCACTTTGCCACTAGGTCATAGGGAAGTTGGACTTTGATCCCTTGATTCATAGCGTTTGACTTTCAGTTTTGTTCAAAATATTGAATCAGTGACTGCCTTTTAGCTCGAGTTTTGCCGTAGGTTTGACATTCGACATTAAATGTCCAATTTTGACATTCCGTTTTAATTAAATGCTCGTGATCACTTGTGGTTCCAGTAAGATGAGGCCACGGTATAAACAGCAATGGTCAATGTGCCCCACCCTCTATTATGTGTAAATATCATTTAGAAGAAAAAAAAATAATTAAGGGTGTTCCTTAAATAATCTTCAATCATTTGCTTAAAATCTGGTCTGGTATGTCACGTTTAAAAGTTTGGTTATAAATGCCATGACACTTTAAAATGTCAAACTATCAAAACTAACCTGACATATTTTCTTTAAATGAAAAAGGACTAAACAAATATTTTTTTCTACGACCACTATGTAAAAAATGTATCTTTTCATTGGCAAGGCAAAACACAAATGTAAAGTGACATTTCTGTGTGAAAAGTGACAGATCTGTGTGAAAAGAAATTGACAGCATCGTTTGACATTCGTTTCAAAATTTTTATTGTATTTGTATATGTTTGTCTAAATATCATTTAGAACACAGTTAATTGTGTTTGTATACTAAATTCTAATTTTTAGTGCCTTTAGTTAAATTGAAAAGGTAAGTTAATTGATTTTAAGTAACTTATACCTTAAAAATTAAAAGAATAAGATGAAAGTAATTTTAACAGCTGTCAAACACGTTTTAAGTTTATTTTGTTTTGTATTTGAAAATAATAAAAAATAAAAGAGTCGTACAAAAAATATTGTGTTACACATGTGAGAAAAGCTTTCTTCCAGCTCGTATTAATGCACACTCGGGCTAACGGCCTCGTGAGCAACTTAAACACTTGCATGAAAAAGTCGCTTTTCAACACTTGTAAAACAAATAACTATTCTGACATACATATACTAGCTGAAGGTCTTTTGCATTATCTAACTACTTTACAAACATAAGATACATATCACAATACTCATTGCCATTATCTGGTTGAAATGCTATAACCCTAGGGCTATAACAGAATCTAATTTTGAATTTTTACTGTCAATCATCGTTTATGGTTTACTGTGAACAGATGACAACCAATTAACCAATTCATTATTTTGTTAATTAATTGGCACACCATGTTGCCAAACCCAAGCTTATTAAGGTATATACCTAAAATCCAATTTTTATAAGATAAAACATGAATTTCTAACAAAAACATTGTTTAAATATGAACATCAGGCCAAACATGCAGGGTGTCCTAGAACTCGCGCCATAGAGAAAAAGGGAACGTGCCGAAAGTAATGGAAACACATATTTAAAAAGTAAAATTATCTAACGAAAAGGATAAGCGAGATAGGAATAAAAAACGATAGCCAATCCCAATAGAGGCACTAGAGGGAATTCTTTAAATTGCAAGGATACTTTGGATGCATTGTTAATATGTAAAATATTTGGTCGATTTTTGGTCATACGTTTCTTTGAAACGTTCCGAGGAGTAACGCAATTGGAGGTGCTTCTAAACGTATTAGAACGGCGGAAAATGTTGCGGCTATTTTGAATGCCTTTGATGCAAAAGTGGGAAAAGCATAAGGAAAGTTGCACGCGAACCGGATGTTTTCCCTTCTAAAGTTCAGCAAGTTATGATCGGTAACACAATTTTCATTTTACAAAAGGGCAGCACCTGCAACCGCAAGATTATCCTGCTAGAGTGGAATTCTGCCGGTGGTTGCTAGAGAAAAAAGATCTCCAGTCAAATTTTGTCTCTAACATTTTGGCTCTGGGGTACTGTAACAGAAGTAGTTGTTTCATTTTTACTTTAAAACACAGCGTCCTGAAGTACCTATGACTGTTTTTTTCGAAAGGTCACAGTCACAGTCTGTCAAAACACTTTTAAAAGTTTTAAGACAACAATGTTGGGCCGAGGATGGCTCAGTGGGTTGAGCTACAGAGCTGTAAGCAATCTGCGTCTAACGGTACCGGGTTCGATTCCCGGTCACAGCCTTGGGTGTTGTAGTTGTTTATTAAACAAAAATAAATACCTATCATGAGCTGGCTAAAAAGTCTTAAAAAGACAACAATGTTTTATCGTCTCCTAGCAGGTTTTAAAGCTCCTACGTTTAACCTAGGCAAGAGCTCTATAGGTATTGGCTGCCGCTTTTTTGCTCTCATTTAATTACAAAAACTATATATTGAAGGTACCTTCGAGGCGGTGCACAAAAAATCAAAACTTTAAATCATAAGAACTTTGATATGTTTCCCAAATGTTAGGTAGCTTTTAACTTTTGTAAACTCATTAGAAAAAATATCTATTGTAAATAAAATAATATTTTAAAAGGAAACACAATCCAAGATAAATTAAATTATGATGCATGTTTTGCGTTATTAGACACGATCATAAATATTTATAAGCAACATAAAATAGTGCCCATCAGACATTGACATTACCCATGTCAGTATATGATTACATAGTTGGCGTCTTGAATAATCAATGCCCAAGCCGCCTTTATGTTAATCATTATCGAAACATTATTTGTTATGGTATTACCTTTACGTTTATACATTAATATTATAGATTATACAATTTATACTTTGTTGTAGGTATAGTTATAGGAAAAGGTACTTGATGAAAATATAATTGGGTAAGAATTATGTTATATCTATATGCTAATATTCTAAACATAATTCTCGTGTATTATGTGTATGATAACGTACTATTATTGTCCAATATGCAATATTTGCTTAAAAATGTCGTACGGTTGAACAAGAAAATAATAGGTGGGATTGTAATTATATAGGTTTAAGTATTTTATAAATTGTTATTATAATTTAATTAATTATTCTTTTCTTAAACCTTTTATTAAGCGAGAAGTGTATTCCTGGTTTAATTTCCAGTTTTTTGTCTACATTGTTTTTTAGACTGGGCGGTTGCCTAAAAGGATAAAAAAATATTACCTCGATAATCGTTGATAGCCACAACCAGCGTGAGCGTTGATCCCAGTGGAACAATTCCACTGACAGGTGGTGCCCATGGCCCTTTACCATGCTGAATTTCCATCCAGCAATCTACATTGTCACCTATAAAAAAATGAACTTTATATTATCCACTAATTTTTCATAATTTTTTGTTTTATATTATATTCAGGTATTATAATTAGGCAATAAAGTAAAAGTAAGTAGGAACGCCATAATCCCTAAAAATGAATTAGTCAAAAATGACTAATTACTGCAGTTACTAGTGGCTGCGCTTTTACTTTTACTTTTACTACAAATCTACAAATCTAACTTTAAAGAGAGAACGCATTCGGAAAAAAAATGCATGATACGGCCAATCTCGGCCGCACAGAAGACGTTTTATTTATACAATTAGAATAGAATTACACTGTGCGACAAATTTTGACCTTACAATTTGAACTGGGATGAAATGTGGAAAAATCGAATCTATGCAACCCCCAAAACTAATCTTTAAAGGGGTTTTGCTAGTTTAGCTCGAATAATGGAGATATACAGGGTGTTTCTTTTAACTTGAGACAGCTCAATATCTCGAGAAATACGCATTTCACGGAAAAATGTCTTAAATAAAAGGTTAATGTGACCAAAGGGGACATTATTTGGTGCTACCGCTAGCCACCCCCTACCCCTCCTTAAGGGTGAAACGGGGGGTAACTTTGGAAAGTCAAATGGAATGACCCGATTTTCACAGAGTTTGGTAGTACATAAAAAAATGAATAACTTTTATTTGAAAGTTTTTTTCAATTTATCAACAGATGGCGCTGTAATTCAAAATTTAAGAAAAAGGGGTTTCCTTGTAAAATGTATTATTTGAAAGGTTTGAAAAACAAAAATTAACATTAAATCAACATTTGTTATAAATTGTTTTCATAGCCGACTATTGTTGTCAATGTTAATTTTTGTTTTTCAAACGTTTCAAATAATACATTTTACAAGGAAACTCATTTTTCTTAAATTTTGAATTACAGCGCCATCTGTTGATAAATTGAAAAAAGTTTTAAATAAAATTTATTTATTTTTTTATGTACTACCAAACTCTGTGAAAAAAATCGGGTCATTCCATTTGACTTTTCAAAGTTACCCCCCGTTTCACCCTTAAGGAGGGGTAGGGGGTGGCTAGCGGTAGCACCAAATAATGTCCCCTTTAGTCACATTAACCTTTTATTTATGACATTTTTCTGTGAAATGCGTATTTCTCGAGATATTGAGCTGTCTCAAGTTAAAAGAAACACCCTGTACATATATATATATGTATATCTCCATTATTCGAGCTAAACTGGTAAAACCCCTTAAAGGATTTGTTTTGGGGGTTGCCTAGATTCGATTTTTTCAGATTTGATCCCAGTTCATTTTTTGTGTTGCACAGTGTTATTTAAGGTGAACAAGAATTTCTTATAAAGTTAAGGGATGTTTAAAAGAGGTAACATCAATGCAAATAAAATAGGTTATAATCGTTTTGAAAATTTGTGTTAGGTACGTTTTTATTGACATAAGTATTAACAAATGATGGTAAATTGACAATTATTTTTAAAGAGTTTATTGATAATGGATTTTAAATTAAAATTAATGTGCAAAGTTTTGTCAGATCAAGCTAGAGAGGTGATAGCTAATGTCATTTTCTTTATGCACCGAGAAGCTGCACAAAACGGCCCTATCCGTGATTTCAAATTTTTTATGCTTGATTTAGTTTCATTTTAATCCACAGTGTTCTTTATCCCACAATGTGTGGATTGTGCTTTATAATATATTTAGGATATATCCTAAGGCAAACTAAATGTAAATGACGATTTTAAGAGCTGGCATCTGCGCATCGATGGGCTTGTATATTCATACGTCTCTAGCTAGATTTGCCAAGTAAAAATGAATGTCAAGCATCAGTGATTGGCCGATTTCATTATTTACTTTATTTAGACCAATTGGGTAGTTGCAAACTAGGGGACGTCACGCTTTTTTAGGAAATTTGTAATAATCACGAATTTTTTAACGCCATATTTTCAAGACCCATTGTCACAAATGTTCACGTTTTATTTCTTTTAATAAAAATTAGTCAATAGGAGTAGAACCTCATCCTCGTAAATAAAATAGCCTGCATTATATCGTATAATAATATATTAATAAATGGTTTGCAGCCACATTGACTAACGACCGTTAGGATAAAACTTTATTTTGCTTTATAAAATTTTAACACACAATTGTGTTATTAAACCTTGATTCTGTAAGAATTATAATTTAATTGAATTATTAGCAGCGAGTACAAACAACACTGAATTAATAATAATGAAGCTTTACTTCCTATTTATAAAAATAATATAAAATAAGATAAATACATACATTATAAACATTTTTTTTTTCGATGACACATGAAAATTTTGTTTCTTTTATAAAAAAAAGTTCCCTAAAAATTTGAGCCCTTAATTTTAATTTTAAGTGGTCCTCTCGATCGATGTATATTTAGTAAATAGTATATAGTTTAGTAAATATTATTTACCATTTAAATAACGTGTAAATCATGATTTTTTAAATTTAAATTAATATAGCTTCGTTTGATTTCATGGTATTTTATTGCGATTACTAATTCTGACTAATCGCCGATTAGTCAGAATTTGTAGTATATTAGTAACTCTTTGAAAGTGCCCACTAACATTTTTTTATACTTGAACCCGTCTCATCGGTGTCGACCTCGAAAGCCCAATTTTCTCAAAAATTGTTATATTTTCGTTCTTATCAACAAAGTTGAAGTTATAAAAAAATAATATAACCTCCAAAATAATGTCAAATTGAACATCAATTTCATCTTATCTTTCTGTCTCTTCTTTTATATCATTTTTTCATATTTTTATACTAAGAACAATTTACACTCAATAATAATAAATATCAGAAATTCACATAAGACATTTTATTCTTGAAGATAAGGCATTGAAAAAATTTTTCAATATCTCTTTCCGATATTACCGATCTTTTTTCTAAAAAAAGTTGAAAATGGTTAATTTTGTTAAAAAAGGCGTAAGTTAAAAAATCATACAATTAAAATTTCATTTTTTAGATTTTAATACATTAAAATGTTTATACCTTTTGGACTACGCACCTCGGAAAATTCACACAGGGGTATTTTTGTAGGAAATTTAATTTCCTACAAATTATTCTCTGACATTTTTTTTATAACTTCAACTGTTTTGTTGATAAGAACGAAAATATAACAATTTTTGAGAAAATTGGGCTTTCGAGGTCAACACCGACGAGACGGGTCCAAGTACAAACAAATGTTAGTGGGTACTTTCAAAGACTTACTAATGAGTATATGAGTGAGTATAAGAGACGTATAACCAGCCCCATTTCCTCTTGACTCTCGAACCCCGTACAGGCCTATGTTTACTTACGCAGATTTTTGTTCTTCCCCAGCAACTGCACGGCTTCACCCGTGTTTGCTGGGTGCGAATGTCCATTGCGTTCCGTACTGTCCCCTATTTGGGGCTCGAGAGCGAGAGGCGAATAGTTTTAATAGCCATTATCGGGTTCGCCGAGCCTATGCTATACGCTCAGTGGGGTATGGAGGAGGGACGGGAGGTGGTTTTTGGGGGACAATTACGCCGACTTAAAACTAAGTACGACGCGGAATCCCACTAGACCAGTCGATTAGTATTACTCCAAACATTTGGGATTACTATTTGGAGTTGGGGAGTTGTTATTACGCTGCAGGGGTGTATTCCTAGTCGAGGTCTTCGTCTTGTTCATTATTGTCAATGTCCGTGTCAGATAGTTCCTGCACTTGGTAAAGTGTGTCAGTTGTTTTTTTTATTTTGTTTTTATTGTTGCTTAGTTGCTCCCAACTGGTCTTGTTAATTTGTGGGAAGTGCATGTTTTGTGCTAACGTGTCATGAAATGTGAAGCATGGTCTCCCGATTTTTTTGTCTGTAAGATCTAGTTTAAGGGTGGCTTGTAGTATGTTGTTGCGTTGTCTACGAGTGACGTGGGCCCAGTATTTTAATTGGGCTACTCTTACCCTTTTGGTAATGGTTTTTCCCATTAGCAGGTATTGTTTTTACTTTTAGTGTAGTCTAATGTGTTTACAAATTCCATGGAGTTTGATTAAAGTGTTTTTTTTTACTTTGTTTGTTTTCTTAGTTTATGAGTGTTATTTATGTCTTAAGTGTCAAATTTATTTGGTCTCGGTTTGTTATACTTGAATTGTTTTGTTGACAGCTTTATTGCCCTGTTCAGCTTTGGTGTATGTCCGCGATCGTCTGTTTGGTTTTTTTTTATAGTATTGACTTTCTATTGTTTTGTTACCGATGATTATTGTTTTTTGTAGGGATTAGGCAATGTGCCTTGTTTAGTTTAATTTGCAAATTATGTGTTAGGTCATACAGATGAGTTGAGGATACTTATCAATTATTTGCATGTGGCCTATTCCTCCCTTATTTGACCTCTTTTGTTTGGCCAGTGAAAATCGTCCTGTTGCCAGATGGTGCGACAGACACTGACACTTGTCACTTAACTCTTTCTTGTCACTTAACACTTAACTTTTTTGACCGTTTCACTATGTTCGTTTGCACTTGTCACTTCACTCTTCCTTTTCACTTGGCCCTTAACTAATTATTGACCGTAGAGTAGTCTGTACTCACTGTATTTGTTACACTATAGTTGTTTGCACTATGAGGGATTATAATAATTATTTGTTGGTTATGGTTTTAACGTTTTACGTTTAATCACTGCCTCCGCTGCCAAGCGACTTACTCAGTCAAGAGCTGGGACGGGACAAAGAGTCACTAATATATTACAAATTCTGACTAATCGCAATAAAATACCAAGAAATCAAATTAAAAAAATCATAATTTACACGTTATTTAAAGAGGAACCACTTAAAATTAAAATTAAGGGCTCAAATTTTCAGGAAACTTTTTTTATGATAAAAGGAACAAAATTTTCATGTGTCAGCGAAAAAAAAATAATGTTCGTTTTAAATGGAGCACCCTAATAAATATATATATTTTACTTGAGAAAGCATATTTAACTTTAAGAAGACAGAATAAATTGAGCCCCCCGGTTATCACATGTATGTAATGGCA